TTGGTGGGTAAAATCATCTCAACGTTGACCATGGTCACTATGCCACCAAATCATTGACACCGTACATAAAGGTCTAGTCTTTTAACTATTACTGTTTTAAGCAACTTTGTGAGAAAATGTCTAACTTTTTTTTATTAAAAATTGTCTAACTTTACTAATCAGTTTTATGACTTTACCTAATAGTAACTCATAGAGTTTGTTATTTATTTTTTGACCAAAAAAAAAGAGTTTGTTATTTATCAAATGTCCAAGACAGAAAATGGAAAAAAATATTACTTAGAATTTCAAAGAGAAAAACACATTTATTTTAAGTCTTTGATCTACTATACCTGATAAGTTTCAGTTGTCACTATCTAATTATATGAATACATTATTAAAAATATCTCCAGTCTCATTCTGTTTTTTTTTATATATTTTAAAATAGAGTTTAAAATAAGTATGTTTAAGTGATAATTTATTTTTCACTTAATAATCAAGTTAAAAATGGGTTTACTCTATATATAGACTTATAGAGTAATTTATAATTTTTTTTGCTCAGCATTTTATTTTTACCGTAAAATAAAATATCACGAGAGTAGATACAAGTCTATTATAAAGTTGTTTTAGTTTGTATGAAAAAATAAAATAAATTATTAGATGATCAAATAAGTCGCGACACGTTATATTATTGACAGAGACCATTTTTAGTGCACGCAGCTAGTTAAACCCTGACACACGCAAGGAAAAAACAATGTCATCGAGGTATTGCATCCACGGCTGATTCCATCATTACTCTGCTCAGTGTAAAAGGCTATCAGAGTCCGGCCAAGTTTACAGTGGTCACCCCACTGATCAAAGACAACTTTCTGCTCCACCAGAGCAACAAACTAAATATTCTAGAGCATCTTTAATGTAGTTGACAGTAAAAAAGAGTATCTTTAATGTTACTAGATGTATAGTCCCCGCGCTTGCGCGGAATTAGATACGTTGTTGATGTATTGTGTAGTTTTGTGTATTAGATTTTGTATTTTTTTTAACATTTGGTTATCTAGCTTATCTATAATGGTGATGAATGAAACATTATAAGTCACACAACTTGATTAGTCTGATAAAAGAATAAACATCGAATTCATATGAGTTGATATTTTCATATTTTATTTTCGTAGTGATTTTACCGAGCATTCCCTTTATTAGTAATTTTATCGAGCATTATTGTTATTAGTGCTTTCATGTAAAAAAATAATTTAATGGAGATAAGACAAAAAAAGATATGTGTTTCTTAGTGTAATTTTCTTTCTGAAATTATATTGTATATTTATATATTTTTTTAATTGTGATGTATATGAGATTTATGGCCGATCTGAATGGTTCGGGGTAAATATTTATTATTGAAAATACGTTTTTATTTTATTTGATGATTATAACTGAATTGAAATGATATTGGAGGTTGGAATATGATAACATTTCTTATAAAAGTATCTAAGATGATCTCATAAAGTTTCAAATTCTTAAGCCATTTTGTATCCCAACAATCAGCATAAACAATCATTCTGAATCTCCCTAAGCTTTTAGGTATCCCGAAAAGCCCAAATTAAAAAAAAAAAATTTACATGCAAGCACTGTGATTCGAACACCCGCGCGTTCGCGGTTCCAACTTCTCGTCACCAACATACACCACTGGACCATTTCATCACTAATCAATAACATTCAATCTTACAAAATCTTCTACATTTTTGTTTTCCCTAATAACACGCGTAGGGCCCGCAAACTTGCTGACGTGGACACGCTGAGGAACTTCAAAAGTGTACTATTATTATATAAATTTTATTTTAATCATAAAAATGAAAGAAAATTGTTTTTAATGGTGCACCGTTTTGAAAAATATGAATAACATCTACCTCATTTTCTGTGAGTTTTTATCTAAAAAATTGATACTTCAATTTTTTTATAAATTGTTAAATCTAAAAAATATTAAATATATGTGTTTTATAGTTTAATGATATTATTAAAACTGTCATTAATACAATTATACAGTCACATATATATTCCATTAGAAACTAAATTTTGTTGGGATAAATTACTAGAAACAAAACTTATGTATACAATAATTTTTTTTTTTTTTTTAAAATAGTAAAATAAAATTATAATTGGGTAAAATTTGAAAGTTTTTAAACTAACAGATATTATTAAAACTAAGAGTAAGTATTATAATATATTACATTCTTAGAATATAAGTTGAAAAAATATTATTAATTATCGGAGTAAAACCTAAATTTATTTCGAAGAAGATACAAAAACAATCATGGAAAAAGCTATTCGTGACATTATAGCTTTTTAATAGTTAAAGTTTTCATAATTGTAAATTTGTAATTCTACATGAACTTGATGCCCGAAGCAAGTAGACTTACTGTTCTAATTATTTTGATATTTTTGGCTTTTTAATTAAATTAAATTAATTTTATATTCGAGAGGCTATTATTGTAGAGTTTTCTAACCCAAAAAAGCAAAGAAAAGACTATTATTAGTATTATGGATTATAATGTGTTTCAAAAAAAAAAAGGTATTATGCCTTATAGTCGAATGACATCTATTATTTTCAATAAAATAAATAAATAATTTGGCATATATAGGAACAGCATCAACATGGATAGACTCATAAAGAGTTGAGTAAAATATTCCTCTCATGGTCCAAAACCATTGATTCTCTTCCACATAAAACACACAGAAACCGATGAGGCATTACTTGGAAAAAAAACACAGACCATATCAATAATCAAAACAACAAGAATCTAAAAGGCCAAGGCTGTTCTATATTTCCTGTAATGGGATCAAAAGAACAACAAAACTGTCCAAGTCAGAGGAAGATCGCTGTTTTTATAGTCTTAGCGTTTATACCATTTGCTCTGTTTCATCTCTGTTTCAATAACCCATTCTCAGCCACTGGTGACACCACTCTTCAAGACTCCGCAGCACACGTTGTGCTCACTAGCTACTCTTCTTCTTCTTCTCAAGGTACTATTGAAACTATCCAATATAGCTGTCTGTGTAAGTATGCACGATGGCTTTAACTATGTTGTGTCAATCTGCAGAAGAAGAATCTCAGGAAGAGTCTTTATGCGATTATACTAAAGGGAAATGGGTAAGAGACGAGATGGGTCCACTCTACAACGGTTCGAGCTGCGGAACAATCAAAGATGGTCAGAACTGCTTACGTCACGGCAGACCAGATTCAGGTTATCTTTACTGGAAATGGAAACCGAACCAATGCGATATACCGAGATTCGACGCTAACCGGTTTCTTGATCTTATGAGAGACAAGCATCTAGCTTTTGTCGGCGACTCCATGGCTAGAAACCAGCTTGAGTCTCTTATATGTTTGCTCTCTACGGTCTCTCCCCCTGATCTCGTTTACAGAAACGGAGAAGACAATAAGTTCAGAAAGTGGCGTTTCGAATCTCACAACGTCACGGTCTCGGTTTACTGGTCCCCGTTTCTCGTGGCCGGTTTGGAGAAATCTGGAAACTTGGACCACAATGTATTGCATCTAGACCGTGTGGATGAGAGATGGGGTAATGATCTAGAACGGTTTGATACGGTTGTAGTCTCCGTGGGACATTGGTTTTTACATCCAGCGGTTTATTACGAGTCCGGTTCGGTTTTGGGATGTCATTCTTGCGAAGCAAGCAACTGTACCGAGATAGGGTTTTTCGACGTGTTTAGAAAAGCAATAAGAACAACGTTGAAAGCTGTAGCAAGAAACCGCCGCCACGTGATCTTGACGACGTTTTCGCCATCTCACTTCGAAGGCCGGCCTTGGGATAGTCTCGGCGCGTGTAACATGACGGAGCCGTACGGAGAAGGGAAGGTTCTAGAAGGTTTGGATTTGGAGATGCGACGGATAGAGATGGAGGAAGTTACGGCGGCGAAAGCAGTGACGGAAGTGAGGTTAGAAGCGTTAGACGTGACGGAGATTTCGGTGTTGAGACCAGACGGACATCCAGGTCCGTACATGTATGAGTTCCCGTTCAAGAACGGTGTACCGGAGAGAGTACATAATGATTGTTTGCATTGGTGTTTGCCTGGTCCGGTCGATACGTGGAATGAGATTATGATGGAGATGTTGCGGCGATGGAGGGTTTAAATGATGATTGTGGGAGTGATCCAATGATATTATTAGACATGCATATGGCTAAAGGTGTAATCATTTGGTTCTTTGAAATGTAAGTAGTTTCTTTTCTTGGGTAGATTAGAAAGAAACATGGGGGTGATAATTTTTTGGTCGTTGTTATAATGTTTATTCTTAAACGATGGAGGAGTACGAAAGATATTTGGATTTAAGTTTGATCAATAAACAGATTCTTTTTATTTTTATTTTTATAGTTTGATCACTGAAACCCAACTACTTTTGTCATTTTAGGTAACATGGTAACCAATCGCAGTAAAAATACTTAGAACTTTGGTTCCACTTGTGATTATTGTTCCCACTTGTGTTTATTTATTTGCATAAAAGGGAAAGTAGAGTTGGAAACCTATAATTGGTGTTATGTAGTAGTGTTTGACAATCTGTAGTGTGGCTGTTTGTAAGAGGACTTTGTGGAATCAAATGGTGCCAACTGGCAAGAGATGGATGAACACCGCCATTTTTTGCAGGAATTTTTCGGGTTTTGCATCTGTGCAGAGAGGATAAGACTCACACATGTTTACTTTTGTTTTATTTGTTTCTCACATATGTTATTTGTCTTTCAAGAGTCACCATTTGTCTTTCTTGTGAGGAAGGGAATCTGCATTTTACACAAATACAATACTCGGGAAAAAACAAAATCTTTAACGGTTGTTGACGGTGGCAGAATAGATCTATGCTGGGCTTCTGTTGTTGACGGTGGCCCATTGATTCTTTTTGCGTTTGGGCTGAGCTTTACTTTCTGAAAACTATAATTTGTTTTCTTTAAACTTTCCCACTGCATTATCAACCTATTTCCAAATTATTTAGTATTCCTTATTCGTAAGAAATGAAAGCCATAATAAAAGCAATGATTCGGAGCTTATTCATTACACAAAATCAAAACATAATAAAGAGCTTTAGATATACAAATACATGCATATACATTCGGTGGATTTTGCCTTTCGGACCAAAAAGCCTACTTCAGCAATCTCCCATTGACACTGACTACATAACACACGCATTTCTTCTTATTCACGACATAGAAAGAAATGAGCCATAAAATACTTAAGCGACCCTCATTTTCTTCTTAAAACTATAAAATACACAATTCACACAGGACTTTCTTCCTGATCATGAGTAAGCAATGGAACTTTGTTGTCAACTTCTTCCTGATAATGCTTATTTTTGCTTGGTTTTCTTTCTTCAATTGGATTTTGTTTTTCTTCGGTTTCCTTCAGTTGTCCCCAAGACACTGAGTAATATCCAACGCCACCTATGGCTGCTCCCAAAACACTGCACTCATGTACCAAACATAGACTTGATTAATACTGATGCATGGTAATGATAGACTAATAAATCAGTTATTAGTGAATGTTAACTGACCTGCCGTAGCGAAGACTGTTGACGAAGAAGCTGGTGCCAAAGACTGTTGCCCAAAGGATACCAAAGGGTTTGAATAATGGTACGTAAGTTGGTCCTTTCATTTGGGTACACTTTACTTGTATGCTTGGTCGTATCACATTTCCGAATATTCCCTGCGTTTCATATTATGTTAGGTTTGTGAGCTATTGATAACTTGCTTATTTTTAATATATACTTACCGTGGCAATAATGAGGAAAAGATGGAAGTTAGGTTCGATCTTCCATGCACTTAGGTCTCTCTCCATAAACAACGCGAAGACTAGACACTGAATCGTCCCGACTATGCTGTAAAAGGAAGCCACTTTCATAACGTGTGGATACTTTTTCACCGTCCCTATCTGCCAAGTATTATAGACACGTTAAGCTCAAAATTGTTAAACATGCATAAATTAAGATGGTTTCAGTATTAGATGGTTTACATAGTGTTGTTGAATATACCTGAATAACATTGAAGAGGGCGACACAGAAAAAAGCGGTGGCTAGAAAGATACAGCCGAGGAACCAATTGTCGGGGATTGTGTAGTAGACCAAGAGTTTAGGGATCGATTTTAGAAGACGAGTTGGGGAAGGAGACGAAGCTGGTCTTATAAAGGGACCTTTGTATAATTCTTCAACAAATGCTCCGCTTAATGAGATTATTGTTCCCATCACTTTAACTCTCGTGCTCGTGTTTCTCCAATCTAACTTGCTCCTTCTGTATAAGCATAGGCAACTATCATTTATTTGGAAACAGTTAAATAACGCAGATCTTGACATGGTGATGATAGATGGCTTACCCGAGAATAAGATTGAGCAAGAAGGAGAAGGAAGGAATGAGTAATCCCATTGCACATACTACTATGGGTGAGCTGAAGGTTAGCCCCACGAATGCCAAGTTTTGGAATAGAAATATCCTTCACATATTTAAAATGTTTCAATACAAGAACCAGTGTATGTGTCTATGAATGATACCATTTTAAGAACGTTAAAAGTGCATGCTAGCATTAGCACGTGTGTGCTAGCGAAATGGCAGCATAATTAGACACAATGTCATGCATATTTTTGTTTATTTTATATTATATCATGGTGTGCTATGTATGCGCTCACAAAGAAACGTCACGATGTTGGAAGATATCATAAAATACCTTTAGCCCTAGTTGTTATATTATAACCGAGTAAACGGCACGCAGTTTTGGAAATCCATGCATACGATGTGATATAATATTCATCGAACCAGTTGGTGGTTGATACGTATACAAGGCTTCGTAATATACTAACATGGACCTCGTATTATTCTTATGGTTTTAGAACCTCATATTAATTCTATTCCAAAAAAAATGTTGGTAAATACTGGCTCGTAAAGTCTAAACTCTAGCTAGATTCATAAGAAAATAAACAGAGATCATGATGTATGTACCCACCCGGTGAAACCTAGAAAGAAAACACGAACGAGGAGTGGCCAAGAAAAGATAGACTCTTCAGTTCTGCATGACATCATCAAATGATTAGTGAGGACGTATTATGACTATTATACATTATATGTATCACGTAGACTAACCTGTCATTCCTGTGGAAGAAGAAAGAAAAAGGAATCAAAAGAAAAGATCCGAATGCATTTGTGTAAACAACGAACACAAAGGGACTCATCCCTCCCGTTATAGCCGTTTTGGCCATTATCGTAAAAGCAATGGTGCATGCCTCCATTATCACCATTGCCACAAACGGCACAAACTTTTCCTTTCTAACCTTCACCTCCATCTCTCTCCCTTTTTTTTTTTAAACGGCGCGGCGTCCTAGCTCCAAGGGTCTCGGGAAATCTAGAAAGATGTGGAGAGAGAGGGAGAGAGAAATGGAGGTGAAGAAGATACGGAATTATTGGTTTAGTTCTCTAATCATATATAGAGGGAGAGGAATTGTCATTATCTATTTTCAGATATAACCTTTCACGAAGAGGTGAAGCTACTTTACTAGCGTGATGAAGCTACACGAGTGACTCCACGGTTGCACTAAGGGTGAGATGCTTACGTTATAATACTTTTTTATGCATTGGCATGTGTATAAACATAAATCCAAATAGTATGATACTTATCTAAAGATCATTTTATTTATGTAGTTACGTCGAGCTTCGTCTTATAACGTATTACGAGACGATCATGATTAATTTGGAACGTACGTGGGTTCTGCTTATAATAGTCCGTTTAAATTATTATCATACGCAAACTAATTATCAGCCATTGAATGGAGACCATTTCGTTGAATGGACATAAGGCAATATAGTTTCTTTACAACTTAATTAGATCAGTAAATGTCATGATATGAAGCACAGTTAATTATGTTATGCTCATGCAATATAAAATGTATACCATCAAACGATTAAACACAACGTAATAGCTAATAATTAATATGACTATATAAATTCCGGTAGCTTCTAGGGTTTACAAAAATTATTTCCAGTGTTTTATCAAAGATTTTTAAAGTTTGGAAACACTATTTCCCGTGCTATTAAACTTGCCAAAATTACTCTATTAGTAAATCAAAAACTGAAATTTAAACGATTATATATAAGAACCATAAAAATTTTGAAATAATAAGAGATTCTTATTTACATTTGAAATAGCTAATAGAATAATGGTTAAAATTTTGGAATATATACAAATATCTATTTGCATCAAGTAGTTATATTAGTAACATTACACATTAAACACTATTCTTTCTAGACATCTATCTCACTGGATCACCAAAAAAATTCTTTCCTTTTAACTAAGTCCCTAAATGTGAAACCTGAACTTCCACTAACAAATTCTAAAATTGGAAGCAAAGAGCTTTGTTCAAAAGATCACTGAACGTGAAGTAATATTTTAAGCCAAACAAAAAAACAAAACAAAAACGACAATGCATTTGGCTGACACAAGCAACGTAAAATCTTGTAGTTACAATCAGCAAATTATACTCTTGGCTGCGGTTGATTAGGGACCCACATAAGGAAAATAGGAAGATGATGGGGTCCAAACTGAATAATGATAAAATTGATGACTCGATATTTTTTATCAAAAAGAATTGAAGAAAGGTGTCATTTCTGGTCAACCTTCCGGTAGAGTCCAAGTATTTGATACTGTAATGGTTAGTGGATTCAGATTCATCCAAACAAAATGTTAGGTTATGATGATGGTTCTGCGTTATTTAATTTCATTCCTAATTCCTAAATATTTAGGTCTGACGCTAGGCCGGTGAGTTTCTTATGATGTTTATTTAGACTATATACCGTTCATAATGTGACAACAATAATTCACTGATCTGAATATCAATATATCATACAATGATACAATTTGGACAGAAGATATCATACAAACTCGACTCGACTACGCAGATATATCTATATAACTGAATATTTTTATCGAATGCAGTGGTAAATGAGGCAGTATCCTCAATTAATACGTTAATCCTTAGTATGAATTGATAAATGGGATTAGAAATTGACCATTGGGTCATAATGTGACCATACATTTAATGACGAAAGCAATTTATATATTACAAAAATTCTTTGGATTAAGAATTGTAATAATTTGTTCGGTCACGCCAAGAACGAAATCAATTTATTATAAACAGAATAAACATGTTATCTATTGACTATTGTATTTAAAATATTTCTAGTTCAACAATTAATTACAAAAAACAAAGCTGTTTTTTTTGTTTAATATAAATACCAATGCGGCTCTTCAATGTGGTATTAAGACCAATTTAAGAGCTAAATTTGGTTAGGTTTGAATTACGCTTCAAATACAAGAATACAAACAAATTTCATATGAATAATTCAATATATAGTAAAGAAAAATGTTTAGTTTAGTTTATTTGTTTTTGTGTAGCCCATGCCTGCTTACATGGCCAGTGAACTTAGGAGGCTTAAGCATGGCTCAATATTTTCTCAAATATAACAACACCTTCACCGAATATGCGTCACAGAAAAATATTTAATTTCAGATAAGTTTTCAAAAGTATGACTTGACTATGCAAAACATTATAAGAACATGTTTAATGAGAAATTCTTAGTATGAAATTTTTAGAAGAGTATAAAAAATCGTCTTTTAGTTTTTTAACTAATAAAAAGTTAAAAATTGACTTTTAAATAAGACCCACTAAAAATGCTCTAAGTACACTTGATGTTAATAATCAACACCAAATGCTGTAGAAAAGTAACAAAACCACACCACCAAATACATAAATCGAGAGTTTGATGTGATCACTGCAAAATAAGCAGTTACAATAAAATATTACACATTCATAACGATCTAATGGTTTAAAATTTGAGCACAAAGGTTGAGGGACCAAAGTTTGAATGCTGTTACAGTAGTTTATAACATTATTGACATTTTAATGCTTTAAATATTGCTTGGATTAATATTTGATTTCAGTTTAGAATTCTCATGTTTTTTTTGTCATCTACTTATCTAAACTAGATCGACTGATGATCAGACGAGGCGATTCTTGAGGAACACTTCCGTTTATTGGGATCTGATCTACATAAAAAATGTATAATCTCTAATTCTTCTTTCTTTTACTATTGCATCCTCTCGAATATTTCTATTCGAAAGAATATGAAACAAGTTTAGAATTCTCATGTTATAAGTAGAAATGACAATAATAGAAAAATGGCAAGGCAATACACTGAAGGAGAAATGCATTTTGTTATCTCGAGTATAAATGGGCGCAATATCTGTTTAAGACCATCTTTATCGTGGGATTTAATGGGTTTTTTAAAGTGTGAACCCCGCAAAAAACATTAAGAATCGATCACAAAACATATGAATTAAAAATCAATTTTAGAGTGTTTCTTACAGAGTTTGCGGATCTTATTGGTACGTACTGACCCTTAATTGATTAGCCTTTTTTCAGACTATAAAAAAAGAAGTTTTTTAAGAAACCGGCAGTGATAATCATGCTGTAAAATCTTTTCCTCTCACTTTTTTTTTCTTCACGTTGGCATCCAATTACTTGGGTTTTACTCTGAGCCTAATTAGAGCCCATAACAGGTGCATCTTTAAGGTTGTCCATCTAACTAAAATCTCGTTTGTTTTCATACACAATTTATGTCTTCTCTCTACTCAATTTTGTGGTCATTCACAACATTATTTCCGCCAATACAATTTTTGCTAAACAAAGTTGAACTCAAAGTGGTGAAAGTTAAGTCTTAATCCCTATACCATTAGATCAATTCAATGTTGGTAAGAACTATGACCAACTGAACTCTTTCGTATTACCATGTTTGGATTCCTCACAAAGAGGTTAAACTAAACAAAGTTTATTCATATTCATTTACTCAACCAAACCTAAAAAAAAAAACCAAACCAAAATTCAAGTACTATTTTCTTTTAACAAACATGCGTATAGCTTAAAATTACTTTACAAATTTTATTTGCTTATAAAATATCAGTAACAACAGCAAGAAGTAAAGGACCACAATTTCACATTTTCAGAAATTGTTTTCTCTTTTATCTCTAAAGAGGGAGGACCAGGCATGGTTGCATTGATTTGCCTCTGACAATATGCTCTATTAAACAACATTTTTTACTAAGCTGATGTTATGTTTGTCTGCGTCAAGATACTAAACCACTAAACCATTAGGGGTATACTTTGAAGATGTTGGAAATGTATGAATCTACTTCAAAATGAAAATACAGAACCAATTTTCCATATATATTACTCAATGCAATTAAAGTTTGCAACTTTTCTTACAAGACAAGAGCATCTAAGCACTCCAAATCTCCCAATCTTTCACAATAAATCCCAACACTCCACCTATACCCCAAAACTTGTAATTTCCCTGCAATGATCTTATTCAATAAGGACTGATAATCCCACAAACTCACAAAGACTTTTTATGTATATGGATAGTATCCATATGGGTAACTAACAGAATGAGCCCTGTAGTGAAGATTCTGTTGAGTATTAGTATTAGTATTATTATTATTTATCTGATCTCCAGACTCCTTAGGCTTAGCAGCACGCTTGGTGCTCTTCTCTTGGACTGCCCCAAAGACTATCTCATTAGTCTTCTCACTGTTCTGCTCATAATAAGTATGTGGGATCGATGAGTAATGCCTTCTATGCTGCTGCTTCTGTTGCTGCTTTTGCTGTTGTTGTTGCTGCTGGTTTGGTAACTCAGTTTCCCAGCTACTGTAGAATGCACGGCTCTGACGCAGCTGCTGCATTTTCTCTGCGTCTTTAGACATAAAAGCATAAGTCTTTCTCGGTGTTTGGTTCCTAGGCTCAGCAGGAGGAGGTTCATCTTCCTCTGGGATCACAAAGCTCTCTTGGATCGGCCATGGAGTTGCTGAACTAAATGCAGCAGAAGACTGCTTAGTTGTTGTTGATCCATTATACTCCTGAAAGCTTGTCTGCTTCTTTCTGAGCATCTCTGTAACGGTAACCCAAGCGTTTGAAGCTAGGTTTCCCAGGGATGCCATGAAGCTTTCATCTTGTTTCTCCTGCTGCTCATCTCCATTTGGAATCAGAGATGGTCTGAATGGCTTCATAGGCTTCTGATCAGGATCAGCTTCAAACGTTTCTTGATCTAAAACACTCCCGTTATGAGAAGAGACGATGGTACCAACTCGTCGTTGCAACAGAGCCAGCATATAACCAAAGAAACCTGCAGCTATGAGGACAGCAATACCAAGAGGAAACCCGCTTTCATACTGATAAGCACAGTCATCAAAATGAAGTTGAATCTCCCTGATAGCTTTGTTTCCACGGTCAATGACGAGAAGGGAACAACTGCTTCCAAGGTAAACAACATCAAAATCGTTTGAAAACTTTGCATCTTCGCTTGGTCCATCCACATGTCCTCCATTTCTAGCCGTTTTGCCTCCAGCAATTGTTGTAACTCCTACAAGGTAATAAGATATAGAATGAGTTTACTAAACATGGAATGCAAATTAGGATATAATGCTATATTTACCTCCTTCACTAATCTTCCGTATAGCATTATTCACCGTGTCAGCAACATATATGTTCCCTCTGTCATCAACTGCAAGACCCTTAGGATGGTTCAGCCTGGCGTCACGTAATCTCCCATCCACGTGCCCTGCGTATCCTTCAGGGGAGCCAGTAACCAGTCTCGGCCTGCTATCTACCAACAGTTTGTTCCAAAATGTAAACAAAACTCAGTTAGAAAACATTACAAAAACAACAATTCACAAAAAGCAGTTGGATTCACTTTTTCAATGGCTTGATGATAACAGTATCATACTACACGCATCATCACCTAGTTGAAAACGTTATAAAAGCTTTGTTTCTTAATTCTTGAGCAACTGATTAGAAAACACTTTTGGTTTTAGATCTCAACTTTGAAAAAAGTCTGCATTGTACTATTAGATTATACTAATCCCTGACAAGTTGACTCCAGAAACGACAAAGATAACAGCAAATCTCCATTTAAAAAAAAAATTAGTAGCTTTTCCATATCTTTTGTACAACATTCCATGTGCATAGGTGAAGACAGAGAACAATCAATCAATGGTTTCATTCACAGAGAAGAGCAAACATGTATATGGTGTGATTCAATAAAAAAACCAGAACATTAAGATACACACTTACATAGAGAAAGAGAAGATGAGATCTTGTAGATGTTACTGTTCTCAGAATCAAGAATAAGCATCTCCCCATTAGGCAAGACCTCAACGGAATAAGGCTCGATACCGAGTTTGCTCCCGTCAAAGACCGTCTCTACAGAATACCCATCTTCAAATTTCACCATCGATCTCGTTGCAATTGCTGGAATTCAAAACCCATCAAAAAAAAGATCAAATCTTTGAGACAGAGTGAACATAAAGGTAAAGACTTTAGATTCGAACTTTGTTTGGTGGAGGTGGATTTGAGTGACCATATCCATTTCATGAGTGAAGAGCCGTGATTTGAGATGAACCCATTAACAATCTCTGCAAAAAGGAAAAGACTTTTTAGATTCGAAGTGAAAAATCGAAAGAGAATGGAGGAAGACTTACTTGCTGGAGAGATAGATGAAGGAGCTGAAGTGACAAAGCCAGAAAGGAGGAGAATGAGAGTAGTCAGAAGCAGAAAGTGTCTACCCATTAATTTGATTCAAGTGGTAAGTAAGCTGGAGAAGAATAAGGAGAGCAGAAACCCTAGTTCATATAGAGGAGAGGGACAATGTGAGAAGAATAGACAGTTCTTCAGGTTTGTCGGCCAGAGAGAGTAAGGAAAAGAGGTTAGAATTGGCAGAGTTTGTTTTGTTCATATGCTTAAAAAGAGTGAAGACACAGTCAGTGTGTGAAAGGAAGAGGAAGGAAAGGTAGAGAGAAAGAGAGAGAGAGTGGTCATGTGATTTTTATTCTTTCTTTTTTTCTCTTAATTAAATTAAGATTTTTTTGATGGGTTGGTGATTAATTTAATTTCTTGTTTGTTATGTTTTTAAATCCTACCAGCATAGTAAACCGGACTACTATCTAGTAACTAATCACACCAGCTATACCGGACTACTAACTAGCAACTAATCCCACCAGCTATTTTTAGTTTTTTTTTTATCAATGTTTTTTTTTCTTCAAATGTATTAGTCAATATTCTATCAAAATCTATGACGAAGAAAATAATAGGTTTTAAAATCTTATAACTAAAATTTTATTGTAAATTGTGATTATATGTCGGTTCAACTAATATCTGAATGATGGATCTCTTTTGGGATTTTGGAAGGTTACATATATTTTAAATTAATATTTTTTTTTACTTAAATTCTAGTTAGATTATATGGTGGATAATCAAATCTGGTATACGGGTTCAACATGGATGGATTCATGCAAGGTTTGAAAACATTGCCTAATATCAAAACACTAAGCTTTTTTGAGTTTAGAAGAATGAATTCCGAACTATATTCTGGTGATCGAATATAGTAGTTATATATAAAAAAAAAAAAAAAACTTAAATACTTTATGCATGAAATCAGCTTTCCCATGCCAGATTGTGTTATGGAATATATTCTAACATCAAAAGAGTAAGTACGAACATAAATTTTTTAAACATACACTTTTTGGTGGGAAAGATTATATGCTTTCGTAAGAAAAGAGTTTTGGTTTTAAGCTTTTATTTATCTTTGTGTTAGATAATATATTAAGAACACAAGTCGTATCTTTCTTTATTTAGTCATGTTCAAAATCATATACAGAGGTTAAGCGTGGTTGTTTAAATGTTCACAGCAGAAAAAAAAAATCACTAACCACTTGACAGTTTTACTAATCATCACTACTGCTAATCGTGCTTAGTTTTATAATCACTAGCCAATAACCACAAAAGAGCGCAACATTTCGTGCACAATATAGTAGAAACCTGAAATATGAAAAATGTTTTGTTTCTTTGAAATATATATTTTACAAGAATCTGCTCCGTGGAATCGCCACTACCTCGACAAAAGAAGTATCCAATGACTTAAAATGGCGTGTCAAGTAACTGTTCCTTTACATTTTATATTCAGCTAACTAATGACATTTCGACACACACACATAAATAATTAATGAGATTAAGAGAAGGTAAAGTAGTAATTAGACAAGATACGGGTTTCGACTAGAGTCAAACAGTGCATATATTCTCGCACCATGATCCTTGTTTCGCGCTGCCTTATCTAATACTCATTTGTATAATAGGGTCTTACTTTCATCTACTGAAGCAATGTATTTCGTTTGTCGAAACGATGATTTGATATACAATGTCATTTATTTACTTGTAAAATGGATGCACAAGTAGGTATTTGATGTAATCTAGTATATCACATGATATCTGGTTAAAAACTTGAAAGAAGTGAGATGAGAGATTCACTAGATTATTGCAACTTAATTTGGATGTTGATTCTTGGAGTTGTCACTCATTTACTTCTAAGAGTTGGAACCAACACAAAGTGAACTACAAGAAAGAAACAAGAATATGGAAACATGTAAAAGCAAAATAAAGAGAAACGTGAAAGAAGGTGAGAAATGGTCCTCCATAATCTTTATTGATAAAAAGAAAAAACCACTTTAACTCGAGAAAAGAAGATTTTAGCAAGACTTTTGTTTTTATAGGAAATATAAAAAAATAAACATACCATGAGCTAGATGATCTTAATTTTCTAGAATGTCTTTTACTACTTTTTTTCTAGAAGAAATATGTTTTGCTAGTTTTAGGCTTTAAGCATATCTGTGCATATTGTCCAGCATATGCAATAACACGAGATATTTGTTTCTACCTTGTAAGTTAGCCGTTCCCATTTTGCTTTTTCAAAAAAAAAGTTCTGATTCCAAAAACTTAATAATATAGTGTTTTATTATAAAAACACATATTGTGATTCTATAATTTTTTTTAATGAAGTGAAATGTAATAACCGAGAAAATGATTTGTTAATTTTTATATTCTTTTTGGCTTATCATTTTTTTTATAAGAACATTTTTTGGAAATGAGGGAGTTTGATAATTTGGTGAGGGATGAGCCTCATGGGCTGGAAATGAGCAAGTTGAGTTATATGTGGACTAAACCTTACTATTTATCCAATGAGTTGGCAAGAAAGTACAATGAAGGGCGGTGGGATTATAATCATGCAAGCCACGACAACCGTCGAAAATATATTAAAGAAAAAAAAGGTTGATCGTTGGGGAAATAAATGGGCATGAAATGACATGCAAGCACAAAACAAACAACAATTACTCTTTCTTGTTGGCTTTCACATGGTCACTTGAACTAGTTGGACCCCTCTTCGACTACGACTTGAAATGAGTTGAGCCCACCATTGAATTTGATTCAAGAGAAAAGTAATTTCTAATTCTCTATTGCATGGGGCTCAAAGTCGGTGTTTACAGGTGATATCTCGGAGACAGAAGCGCCAGTCTGTTACGTAGCCTGGCTTAGAAGTGATGTCATCGACCTCAACAATGGCCACCACTCCTGACATTGGTGGTCTCAAGGCAGGAGATGACTGTGTGCATAGCAGAGCAATGCTAATCCTTCTTTTCTTGTGTAGATTTCACGCCTATTCACACCATAAATGCACAAAAGGACCACACTAGATTTTTGGTAAACCAATCAAGATGCAAACTCTTATCCCCTGCAGCATGCACCTTTAGCTTGGCAGAAGCATGAATCACACCCACAAAGATCCTCCGCCAACACTGACACTATTATGAACACAACTCCGAACTAAGAAAGGATATACTCTCTCATCAATTTGTAAAAAAGATAACACCAATGATCCGATTACAACGAGCTACAGATGATCGCCATTTCAACATAAAATGCATAAACCAGAAGAACAACTCTGTGAATCTATGATCGTATGTATTATAAGATCAACGACAAAGCCTCTGACACCAGTCTTAGCCTTAGTAAAAGAGTATCAGACACTAACAATAGTCCCAGTCCTGTTATTTCCCTTTGATGGCGGCATATTAACCACAGCTGGTGTAAAATCTGTGCAGCAATGTGTAACACTTAGGTACCACTCCTTATCATCAAGAGATTGTGAAAATTAAGGAAAGTTTTATTTGTGTGTTACCTGGTGTTGCACTGACAGCCGATATTAATGGCCCATATGCCCCCTGAATAGGAATACAACATGTTCCCTTTCCAGCCCAGAAAAGATGAACTTCGAGGTAATTTTCTGATACATTTGCTTTATATTCTCTCTGAACAGCTCTAAGAGTAGAGCCACCAGCTGTTCTGCGCACATCAAAATCCTTTTCAACAAGTCTTCCCTGGAACCAAATTTGGAAAGAAGATAATTACACACCAAAAAAAATTCAACTTGCCAAAAGGAAAACTCGATCAAGTGGTGCAGACCTGGACATAAATGTCAAATCTTCTTCTTCCAACACCTCTCCAAGTGTTGGAACCTACCATTTGTATTTCAGCAAACTGAAGTGTCACTGTATAGCCTCCATTCTCTAGCCCCAACCCGTAATACCTTAGGGAAGATGCAGAAAGTCTTGCTGACTGAAAAAGCTCTGAGTCTAAAGTGTTGACAAATTGTGACTGTGATGTGGCTATGTATATATTATTGCTACTTCCAGCAAAAAGTCCTACGCTACTGGCTGCCCATCTCTGAGAAGTACTCACGAAAAAGGAAGCTGGTCCAAGATCCTCTTCCTCCTTCTCAAATAGTGATCCGCTAACAGACCTTATCTCTGGCCCTCCGCAGTTGATCGAAAAGTCAGAATCTAGACAACAATCAATAGAGAAACAATAAACGATTTGTTTTTGTAATAGTAAATGCAGATAAAGAACAACGGTTGTGAAGATATCTCTTTGTTACACTTACAGATTCCTTTGCCCCGGTTGCATGGGAAGTTCTTCTGCATGCATTTCAGTCCTGGTAAATCTCTTATAACAAAAAAAAAAAAAAACTTTTTTATGAGAACGAAAGGATAAGTCGTTTATACATATGGAAATTTCAGTCACCAACAAGAACAGATTCAAGATAATCACCTCTTGTCAAGACCTTCTAATGTGAAGTTGTTAGCAACTAGGTTGCTGCACAAACATACAGTTTTCATTATTATTCCCTAACATATGATCATATTTAAAGAAGAAAAAATGTCTGAGATTGAAAAATACCGTTTGTTAAAAATTAGTGTTTTGTTTACTTACAGTTTCAAGTTTGGAAAGCTGACCCATGAAGGAAGACTTCCAGACAAATTATTGTAAGACACATCTCTGTAAGTATAAGGAACAACAATTAGGATCTACACAACATGTTATACATTCCATAACAGCTTCCTGATCATATTGGCAAGTCTTCCATGCCACCAAGAGTGGAACGGGGTTCAACTTGAAAAAGTGCCGAGTAAAAGGTGAATGAAACTTGATTCTATGTCAGCATATCTGCTAAACCCTCCACAAAGGATTTTGTTACTCACATATTTTTCAAGGATTGACTCTTTTGAGTGGGCAAGAAACCATTCAACTTGTTGTTTCCCAGAAACCTAATACGAAGATTACATTTGTTTCCCACAATTATTCGGGTAGTTGAATAAAGACCAAAAGGAATCAGAAAATGTAAAATCTTACAAGTGACTAAGTCGACTTAAGTTCAAAAGTGAAGCCGGCACTGGTCCATGTAGCTTGTTGAAGCTTAAATCACTGGAAAACAGACATGAATTCAAACCATTCATATTAAGGAGTGACCGAGAAGATAATAAAATTTGTTTACGAACATTTCATATTCCCGGTGACTTCACATATCGTCTCAAGCTTTTTACAGAAAAGACCCTAAAACAGCTTTCAGATGCATATTGATGAAAGAAGACAGTCCATTGACGTATGTACTTACACTTGTAGCAAACTTGAGTATTCTCCAATATTAGAGGGTATTGACCCTTCAAGATTGCTGTTCCTCAATTCTCTACAACCAAAATCATCAACGTTAAATACACGAAGGGGACATAAACAATTCAACAGGAAGTTAATCTGAACATGAATTGGAGTGAATCCAAATCGAAGCTGCCTTACAATATACTTAGAGATTTCATCTCTTTAATGAATTCAAGAGAAGAGCTTCCATTAGATATATCACCTAGCCTCCTACATTTAGGATATAAATATGTGAGAAAGCAAAAGAAGAGAAACCGTAAACAATAAAGATTATGACAAACAATGCAACACATACAGTTCTGTCAAAGAAGCTAAGTTAGAAAATGACGACGGTATCGGACCACTCAAACCAGTTCCGAGAATTCTCCTGCAATAATACATGTACCAATCGTTTAATCCCAATTCAAATGCAATGAAGAGTGTTTCCACATACACAGTAAAATTAACAAATAATACATTTAACAAGAGCAATGGAACAAGTCCACTATATACAACTCTGACGAAAAGAAATCTTCTTACAAGGAAACAAGTTTGGTCCAGTTTCCTATAAATTCTGGTATTCGACCTGTAACTTCCAGATCCATCATCCAACTGATACAACATTAAGAAAAAATATTACCCCAAGACCAAAAACAATGTGAAGTAATACATAGCTGTAGACATCTAATCTAAAGATAAAGGTTAGATTTGAATATATCTTACACGACTTGAAGCTCCACAAGATTAGCAAATGATAAGGGTATTTCCCCGCTAAGTCCAGAACTATCTATATAGCTGCAATAGATGTAAGAAGTTATAAAATATACAAGTAGTTACGGAAGAACTTTATGGACAGTGAGTGAACACTAGATGATCTCGAAAGTTAAGGTTGCATAGCTATGTTAGATACATAAGCATTTGATAGATACACTCACACTTGTTGTAGTTTTGTACAACTCCCAATCTCAGCTGGGATAGAACCGGAAAAGTTATTTGAACTAACAGCACTGCATAAAATACGTATATAATAAGGAACCATCAAAATCCTCGAGAAACATAGTAATATTAAAGAAGCACCAAAAGCTTACAGCGATTTTAAGTCTCTAAGAAAACCAATTTCCTTAGGAATAGAGCCAGACAACGCATTGATCCCAAAAGTCCTACGTGAGAGACAAGAAAAAAATGTTTGTAAAAAGGCTCATTATTATAAGAAGGTATCTCTTAACAGTCTTACATCCATTCCATTCGAGTCAGGTTTCCAATGGCAGGAGACAAGTGTCCTGTCAGAAAATTTTGACCCAAGTTCCTGACAAAAAAGGTGAAAGATCTGAACTTTGAGTCTCAGTGAGTGTGTTAGCTCTGTTTTGATGATTCTATAGAGTAAAAACCATACAGATTCGTGAGATATTGCAAAGTCCAGAGCTCTTCAGGTATAGTCCCTACAACATCTATCGCATAAACCTTCCTGTGGAAACAAAATAAAATTCATTAAAAGTTCCACATTTAGTGATTTCTCAGTGGGGAAATGCATCGAACAGTTGGTGTGCACAAAAATAGGAAGGATGCGTTACAGTGCAGTGATGCGGCAGATTGTGGAGTTTTCGAAATTACAGTCGCATTTGATTAGAGGATTATAGGCACGACTGTCGATGGTGATTCCGTCGTCTATGGCGGCGCCGGAGCAAAGCTCGCCGCTGATGTTCCATTCTCTCGGCGCGCGAATCTTCCATGTTGCGAAGATGGAGTTCAATGCACGCGCTGTCAATTACTTTTAGCCCATTAATTTTAATGAAATTTTTATATTTATAATTTTATAACTAGTTTTTAAATTAGGCTAACAACAATAAAATTAAAAATCAATGAAACACCTCATCTATTTACAATGTTTCTCTAATCATAACCAAAGCAAAATAATTAGTCCAAAAATAATTTAGATCATACACTTTTTCAGTTTTTGTATCCAACCAGATGAAACCAAAACTCATCTGAACTAATGCAAAAGTTCCTTATTAGAAACCAAAATTAATTTTAAAAATTAAGAATATATTTCTATACAATCTGAATTTGAACTGAACAGCCCATAATATATAAAACTTTTATATAAGATATTATTATTGAAAAACTAAATATTAAAAATAGTAAAAAATTACAAATTAAAAAATTACAATTCCACAACATATTTTCTTATTTAATAATAATTTTTCAAAATCTTAAATTTTATTAATTTAACTTTATTGTAATTAGTAATCACAATAATATATAGTTAAAATATCTTCTTCTTTTTTGATAAAAACAAAATATAAAATATCTTCTTAATATATGTAAAACCACAGAAAATCTATCTCCGTGGAATTAGGCTCCGCACACTTTGTTAGCTACAGCCTGTTGTACTTTTTTGCCAAACTGTTTGAAAGGGAAAGAAGACAGACAGACCTTCGTCGGGATGAGTAGAGGCCCCAGTACGGTTTTGAGCTCTAACCACATGAATCGGACAGAAGATACACAAGAACCACACTGTTAATAGGAGCAGACATGGATACAGTCCTAGCCTGGACATCTTCGTCGACTAGAGAAGAAACTACGAGAGAGCCCTATGTTTTCACTTTTGACTAAAAAACACGACTCTGGTGGTGTTTATATGAACTTTGATACTTTTTGCCAAGTGCAAAAACACTATCCCTCTTTAGCGTAACTCACGAGAGTGGACGACGACTTAAACAATGGCCACACGGTTCCACCAGCTTGGACTGTGACACCAAACACTAACGTTAATCCATCACTAACTGTCTTGTCAAATGAAAATCACACTTGAAAAAATGGGACCAAACCACACGTAAGATGATATTATTACTCTTTCAGTATTCTCTTGACAACAATGTATTACAGTATGGTTTACATAACACACCAAAATGTTTTGTACAAAAGCTTTTCTTGAAAGTAAACAAAAAGAAATTACTCTATCCGACTTGAAGTGAGTTAACCTTTTAGCAAAACCTCCACAACACAAAATTTCTAATCTATTTCACTTTTCAACAAATTAGCACACAACAAAATCATGTACATAACAACAAAACACGAATATACCCCCTTATTAAACATGGTAGATCATACCAACTTCTAACGTCGACGCATTAGAAGATGTAAGTGCTGTTCTTGGACCTCTTGTGTTCCTCCTAAGAAACTCATATACAACGTTAATAGCCACTCTCTTCACCAACCCTGACCCTTGCTTCGCTCTCATATACGCGTTTCCCATTATATAAGCCACGCCTCCCTCACGCGCCTCCGTCAGCTCCATCAACTCCTCTCTAGTCTCCTTCTCTATCTTCGGAGTCTCCGGGACAATAAACCTCACTTTCTTTTTCACCTTACTCTTCTTCTTCTTCTTCACCGCCATCGGAGATCGAATCTCTGACGTCCCGGGCTTATCCGGGTCGTCAAGATCGCTCCCTTCATGATCCTCGACTCCTTTCATGTACGTTGAACACGTCCCGACCACCGACATTCTCTCATGATCATCATCATCATCTCCATTAGTCTCCGCGACCGCAGTCGCAGCTTCAGACCGGACAAACTCCATGATACTACACACAAGATCGCCTTCGAACTCAATGTCGTCTTTGTGGACATCACGGTACCCGTACCGGACAATGCACCGGTACATCCGGTACTGTTTCGGCCCCACGCGTCCGACAAGAAACCGTTCCTCGGGTCGGACGTGCGGGACCGGAACAGACTTGACGCAGAGGAAAACAAGCACTTGGTGGAAAGCAGGGAGGTTGGTTACAAAATGAGAGAAGATCGCCGGAACGCCCGAGACAAGCTCGGTGTGTATGAGCCCGACGCCGCGGACACGTTTGATCCCTAGCGTTTGTCCGAGGCTGAGGAGCCAGTTGACTGAGACTTTGTTTTGCACGTCGTACTCGTAACGCTTGAGCGTTCCGTAGTGCCACGTGCACATCGCTGCAAGGAAGCATAAGGAGAGTGCCACTGGTACCCACGCGCCTTCGAGGAACTTGATGAGTGAAGCTGTGAAGTAGAGTGACTCGATGGTGCCGAAGAACACGACGAATGCGACAGCGAAGAAGATGTTCTTGTGCCAGCAGAGTACGATCACTAGTGACATGAGACATGTCGTCACAAGCATAACGGTTATAACCGCCAAACCTGTGAATAAACATTAGTTAGTAACTGTCTTAAACTAAGTACAGTAGAGAAGTGTTGAAAGTCACATACCTGAAGCATTACCCAACCGCTTGGTGTCTCTGAAACCAATGGTGACAGCTAAGCAGAGGACCATCAAGAGCCAGTTGATCTCAGGGATGTAGATCTGACCGTGGATTTTCGAAGACGTATGAACAATCTTCACTTTAGGGAAGCATCCCAAGGCAGAGCACTGTTTGATAATGGAGAATGTTCCGGTGATGATGGCTTGACTTCCAACAACAGCAGCTAGTATAGCGATCACAAGAACAGGCCATCTTAGTTTCTCTGGTACAGATACATAAAAGCCAATGTTGTAATCGGTTTCTATGACATGATGCTGAGAGAGATAAGCTGCTTGTCCCATGTAAGCTAGTATCAAGGATGGGTAAACAAGTGATGTAAAAGCAATCTGCAACAAGAGCAAGATTCTTCGTTATGGTCTAGCAGTTTCTTGAACATTGGAGAAAAGGAGAAGAATCTTTAAGAACCTTGATTGAGAGTTGAGAGAAATGACCGAGATCAGCAAACATTGCTTCTGAGCCTGTAATGCAAAGCAAGATCCCACCAAGAGACATCCAACCTCTACTCTGAGTTTTTTTGAGAAACTTGTACATGTAATAAGGAGAGAGGGCTTGATACACATGCGGGTTCCAATGGAAAATGTTGTAAACACCAATGGCGCTGATGCACATTAGCCACAAGAGAATCACTGGGGCGAACAAGAACCCAACCCTGTGTGTACCGTAGTGCTGAAGCGCAAACAAAGCTATCAGAATTACACAAGCAGCAGGGACTTCTATGTCTGCACAACAACAAAAAAACAGAGAAAAAAAGCTTCAGACACAATCAGAATAACATTTATTACAAATCATGGTTGTAAGAGCTGTTGTACTTGAACATGGCCGTTACGGATAATATTTAGACAAAGAGTAGGTAACACAAAGATCCAAAATGTTGGGTAGATGAGAGTTTTCAGGAAGATGATGAGAGTTTAGTTTTTGGATAATATATATATATAAACAACCACTTGATATGTGCATAGAAACAATCCAAAAACACCTATTCATTAACCATAGGCCATCAAACTAAACCGAATACGATGCTTTTAATTCCTGTTACATGCAAAAACTATGTCAAGCAATCTAATAAACAGATGGTGGGAACAACGTGCTCCACGGCTGAGTAAAGAAACCAATGACTTTCTGCATGCTTCTAATGATAAACTCAAAGAGTCTTAAACCGGAAAATGCAATATAACACAAAAATTAAACGTTTTAAGATGAAACTCACACTTGTGATGCTCCTTGGCCGTTGAAAGCTCAACACCTGATACTGCAGAAAAAACTGTAACAACACACAAAAGAGAATGAACAGTTGAAACAGATCACATGTCTTTGTCAGAGAGACAAGAACACCAAACAAGAACAAGTCAACTTTTGAATCCAAAAAAAAACATACCGGAAATCGCAGGGGTTAGGACACCATCACCAATGACCATACAAGTCCCAATCAAAGCGAGAACAAGCAAAACCTTCTGCAACACTCTCTGTTTCTCAAGCACACACTTCAACCTCGCGGAGAAACCGGACTGAGGCACAACCAACGGCGACCCCATCGAGTCCGTCTTGTACTCGAAGAGCTGCTCGTCCGCCAGCTGGCAACTCGGGAGCGAGTTGACTCGTGCGTGGCGACAGAGGAGAGAGTAGAGAGCGAAAGTCCCGCCTTCGCCATTGTCGTCGGCTCTGAGGACGATGAAGACGTATTTGAAGAGAGGGACGAGGGTGATGGTCCAGAAGATGAATGACAAGACGCCGAAGATCTCTTCGTTGGAGTCAGTGTGTTGAATGTCTTCAGCGAATGTGCTTTTGAATACGTAGAGAGGAGAGATGCTTAAATCTCCGTAGACTACTCCTAAGCTTTGGTAGGCTAATGTCAATACTGTTCTCCATGATTCCTTCTGCAAATAAAAAATCAAAATTAAAGGTTTCGTTTTTTTTTTTATTTGATGGTAAAAAAGGTGAGAGCTTTGGATCGATCTGACGAACCTTGACGGTGTTACAAGTTGTTGATTCGATGTCCATGGTGGGTTTCTCGGTAGAGTTCAAGAATTCGTGAAGTCCATGAATCAAGAGAGAGAGAGAGAGAGTTTCGATTCAAAGGATGGAGCTTTAAAGAAAGGAGAGATGCGAATCTTGACGAAGTTATTGACTTGAAAGCGGCACCGTTTTTTTCTTCAGGATTTTTGTTTGTTGTTTTTATTACCAGACAGAACTGAACTAGTTTGAGGAACAGAGAGAATGGTTTTATTTTTTGAAAAAGGTAGAAACAAAAGGCGAGACTTTTAAGAGAAAGAGATCCGACTTTTTTTTTTTTTTGGTTGTTTTGTTTGGTTAACGAGTTTTTGAAGTTGCTTACTTGTGAGAAAGAGATTTTGTTTCGGCTTATAAAGGTGCATCAACAAAATTGATTAGTCAAACTTCTTTTTATTTTTTGGTTGCTAACATTTATTGATAGTAATTAGGTATGGATTACGATTTAATTGTAAAGTTGATTCTTTGAATTTGTGTTTTGTTACTATATTAATTATTTAAAAGGTGTAATTATGAGGAAAATTAAAATGGGGAAAGGTAAGTGCGTTGAACAGTGAAGAGGGACAATATTTGGTGCTTTGATAAGTGGGATTTCGATTCATATAGTTTAGGCTTTCTATAAAGTGAATTATCACATTAACTTCAAAGATAAATTGTAGTATTAAAGACATAATTATCAAGAAAAGAAAAAAAAAAAAGGAAGAAATTACTATGGTTGGATCCGTTTAGTCCAAGTGTCCAACCCAACTTTAGTCGTTTCACTTTGCATTGTATTGATTTTTTTTCATGTTAGTAAACCTTTTTCAGACAGTTATATGATATTAGAAAATAAAAGTTTTATTACTTGGTATCTTCAAAGAGAAGAAAAACAATTTAGTAAAAAACGAGTTTGATTAGAAAACTTGAATGTAAAACATGAAAATGCTGAAAACCCACGATCTTTATCTTATTGTCAAAGTTAGGTTCAATTTATGAGAGTTTTGACACATGTTTTGTCTATCACCTAATGTTGATTACCAGAGTTTGATTATTGTGGCTATGAAACGTTACTCCATAAAATAGTTGTAAATGGTTAAAGCAGCAGTAGAAACACATGTGTGATTGCGATACCATTTTAGGATTTTAAAACGATTGGCTTTAGAAAGAGACCTATCAGTTTTTTAACAAGAGACTTATCAAATGTTTTGGCTTTTAAGTTATAGTTAAGAGCCAAACATTATTGTTTGCGATATCATTTGAATTTTGCAACTACTGGCTACAGAAAGAGACTTGTTAACATATATGGCATTCATCAACA